ATTGCTAGCATTTTCCTCATTAGGCATTCATGGTAGGTAGAAGAATGACCAAAAAAGAAAATGATGCAGGTGGAAGTAGTAAGTATGCTGCTTCAGCGATTCACGTGATGAAATTTCGTTTTAAATATTTTATTATCGAAGAGTAATTCATCTGCCACAAAATTACTTGTATCTTTGTTTGAAGCTATCCCTCCGTGCTCAAGCTATCCTTCCTTACAAAACATCTTTTCCCTCTTTCCGTTCTTTTCTCTGCCCTTTTCATGGCCAAGTTGAAATTAAAAGAAAAGGGTTGAATTTAAATCTGAAACTTAATATTTCATGGTGGTGTTATTGTGTGGTGATGCTATTAGTGACTGGTACTCACGAAAAAATAGGCGACAATTGTAGTACTCGAAATGGTGGCACATATACATCGAACAGGATCATGAGTACTATGTGGTAATATGCAGCCCGGATATGGCATTGGCGCGGGGCATGTGGGGGCATCTAGCAACATTGCTAACATCGAATCCTAACATCAGCTGTCTCAACGATTTTGGTAACCTTATTTCATTTTACATCAGAAAAAAAAAAAAAAAACTAATACAATATTGAATGAGCGAAGCAAAACCTCAACAAAATACGAAACTTTCGAGCTGTCGGAAAGTTCGCTGGACTTGCCCGTTGGAGAGATATCTATGGAATGCGCCGTTCCTTGCACTTTTCGGCTTTCGCTGATTGAGTTCTCTGATTCAGATTCATCTTCGGATTGTTTTTCGACGGAATGTCGTGAAGACTGATATTCCAGGTTACTCGACTCTGTTGATGTTTTGATCAGCGGTGCTCTCTGTTCGTCTTGGATTGGCCGCCCTGGCTCAGGTGTATATTCTGTCCATTCCTCGATTTTTGCTGGCTCCCAACTTATTTTTTTCAGTGTTTTCTGCAGCAATGCTATCATTACGATTAAGCTTGAACGCTATACGAAGTGCGTTAGCTCAGTGGCGTTAAAAAAGAACGCTGGAATAAAACTAGCTGCAGTCGCACTGAGCGGACTACCGAAGAAACTGAGGCAGCTAAAACGCTCTTTCTTTGCTCAATTTTTACATGACAATCGTGAAAATAAAAAAAAAAAAGATCAAATTTTTGAATCTAAATTTTTGTATTTATTTGTTTAATAGAAGACAATTCCCTTAACTGCTCATATCACCAGCATAAATCTGCGAAAAATACTGCAAAAAACTCATGTTCGTACTGGGAGTCGCTGCTGGCGCAACTAAGTTTTATTCTATTGTGTTGATATTCTTAATGTTTCTTTTGTACTATGAATCGTAAACTACTTACTGATCTGAAACGCTCTGTTTGATAACACCTACACTGCGAACTGAGTGGCAAATTAAGACCTGAAGATTAATATGAAGAAAAGCGCTTTAACCAACTGTTTCCTTTTTGCCATTTTGAATTTGATGCATTACTGGGACCCATTTTTGTTCAAAATTTCGGAAACAAAAAATGATTATTTTTTGTAAACTGAGCTGACCTCGGCAAAATGAGGACTCCTGGATGAAATCACGAGTGATTCGCTGCACACTCCTGCTGATGCTGTACTGGAGCTTTTATCCACTTCTCGGCTCTTGCATGATTTTCTATCACGTGTGGTGTCTTCCGCAGGCTGTGCTAAATCGGGAAATAATTCAGAATGGTATTCCAGATCACCGGATTCTATCGACTTGGTCGCATATACCTCACGGACTGGCCGCTCCGACTGATATTCGATATCCACTGATTCAATGGATTTTGAAGAACGTCGCTTGAATCTTTTTTTTGGCCCTGTCTGCAAGATAAAATTTGTTACGTGTTATTCACAAAATTTGTTACATGCCCAGTGTTTCAAGCATTTCTGTTGAAAATCACTTTTGACAAAGCAGAAAGCATCAAGGGAATTTTTTTTTTTGAAACTCCCATTAGATCACTTAGTACAGCCTGGATATCATATAAATGAGAGTTACTAACAGGAATTGTGCTCTCTGTTTAAAGGTCCCTAGTGTGTGGGAGCAATCCAATAGTATTATACCAATATCAGTTCTCCTGACAGTCCTGATATTCCTAGCATTTTTAAACGTGATCAAATGGTCATTCACTTCCATATTAGCATTACTTGCTAATATGCGATGTCCATTAGCTGTCAGCAAGCTTACTCATCGACTTCAACTTTTGTGTGGTTGCTATTGTATCCTTGCACGTCACTCATCCAACGGAGCGTCTGATTGTTTGTATAACTAGGAAGGAAAACTAACGTCCTTCGGCCCACTATTCTCTCCACCACAAACAGCTTTGTTCTTCATGATTCATTAGTAACCAAGTTTCGTGTCAATAAGTCACTATTTCCAGCACGGAGGTACTCGAATATAGACGCAGCTTTTCAGTTTAAATATGTGCGATACTACAAAGCTTATGCAAACTGGCAGCCATTCTATGTACAACTTTAAGGCGAAAATTGTCGCCTATCTACTTTCTAGCCAGAATGAATTAAATTACAGAGCCATTTGCTAGTAATTAATAAATGACTTGAAAACCTCCAAAGAGACGGCGCGTTTTTAGCAGTTTCTTGCACATCGAAGAATAATTGGCCAACAAACGGACTGCCCGGGCGAAGATGCGTTTTTTGCATTTCGGCGCTTTAGCTTCTCAGATCCCCGAGTTATGAACTTACCCGAGAAAACTTTGGCAGGCCCGTACGCGAGTACTACGCCAGTATTGGCGCCCATTTTGGGATTGGGACTCGTACGTGCACGTAGATTAAGTCCCTAAAGTTTCAGCCCTGTAGCTTTTGTAGATCTTGAGATGAAAAACCGTGACAGACGCACATACGGACACACAGACACACATACCGCAGACAACCCCTCGTCAATGTGCTTTTTCTGCATTGCATAGCTGCAAAAAACCCATAAAAAACGAAAAGCAAAGGCCTCCGACGTTTTTCGTCAACAACCTCCTGCTGCCCTTCACTTTTTCATATCACTTGAAGAAAATCAAACTAGACGAAAAGTTAGATGGATAGAGTCAATAGGTGAAAAAATATAAGTTCCATTATTCCCTTTGTTAAATCATCGGTGACACGCACTGGGCGGGCCCGTGCGATCATGCGTTTTTGCAGTGTTTCGTGGTGTAATAAGATCACTCGAAATTCCGGTAGCTAGAAACCCCTGACATACTAGTCCTCGAATTTCGGGAACTTAATTGTCCACGCTGTACTTGGACGGGGAACATTCCCTTTAGACCCCACATTCCCAGCTTTCTCGATTCTCGAGTTATTCAAACTCCAGCCAGAAAATTTCACAGAGACGTACGTGGCAGCCGCTCATGACTGGAGGCTGAATTTGATAAATTTAATTTGTAGATGAGTTGGAAACATTTCCTGAAAGTTTCAGCCCCCTACCTTCCCTGGTTCCGGAGTTAGCCATTTTCTCTCCAAAAATTTTCACGGGCTGTACGTGGCAATCACGCATAACGGGGGCTGAATTTGATAAATTTGAGTTGTAGATGAACTGGGAACATTCGCTGAAAGTTTCAGCCCCCCAGCTTTCTTGGTTCTCGAGCTAGCGATTTTCGCGCCAGGAGCCCTCACGGGGCTGTACGCGGGAAACGCGCACACCTGGGTGCTGAATTTAAAATCTTTGAGTAGTATATGGACGGGGGACATAATCCCAAAATTTCAGTCTTCTAGCTTTTCTGGTTCCCAAATTAGCGATTTTCCCGCCAAAATTTTGAGGCGCCCGCACGCGGAGCCTAGACGTGCGTGAGGAATGGTACCGCGGTCCAGGGTGGCACTTAGCCGGGAACCCCTCGCAAGATTTTGGCGCCGGAGCTTGCTTTTGGGTGCCGAGTTGAAATACCCGGACAGGCGCACAAAAACACACACACATATACACGCACAAATACGCACACCGGGGTCGTCGTAATATGCATTTTCACATTTGCATGTATGCATAAACGCATAAAAAGTGCGCAAATAACTCTAAAAGAATAATAGACGTTTCACTTCACCATTTCCACACATATAATTTGCATGTTAACAGACTGAATTATTGTTTTTGTGGAAAATGGATCATTTGGCGTTGATCTAAGATTACTGCAAGATGCCTACTCACGCTTACAAAAGAGGCCATTTCTCAAGTCTTTTATTCTGAGGACATTTTTGCACATCAACTTTAAAATTCCTGGTCAATGAATAAAGATGCATAAGAGGTTATATGTGTTCTCCCAAAATATGGCTGACATTTCCACCTTGCCAAAGCATATGTTTTCATCAGTGTGACTTATTCATAAAATCAAATTGTGCAACAAAACTTCCAGCTTCTCAAGGAGTGTACTCGCAAAAAGCATAGTGTCCATCAGTTTCATAAATACACAAGCAAGCACACGCACCAAACACACAGAAATGCGTACAAACATACGCATACGCTTCCTCGTTCCGCTTTTTCTTCAAAGAAAACGCCGTCGATATATTTTACCTTATCGACATTTACTTTTCCAGCTTAAAGCCGGGGCCTTTATGCTTCGAAAGTTACAGCATGCTTTCTGAAAGTTGTTTTCAAAAACGAAATTTACCGATGATATCTGACTTATTTCGGAAGTATCGGGCTCACTATCCATAACGCGTGAAGATTCCTGACATGAAGAATCGTCACTCCTCAAATCAGTGCACTGATCCTCGGAAACATGCGCATCACTCTCAATGCTTTTCATGGTTTCCATTTCGCTGCTAGTCAAATCCGTATCCGATTCCTGTTCACCCGTTTCTTTTTCCTTTTTTGTTCTGATATTCAGAGAGGTGGCGGTGGCGGGCTGATTCGTTTTGCCAGTTTGTGCTTCTTTCGAAGGTGCAGACGTATGGATTTCTCCACGGCTAGCAGTGGCACCACTGGGCTGTGTCGTCATTCCAGCAGGTGCTTGCAGTGACGAACTTTTGGTGACGGTTTCCGATGTTTCAGATGGCTTCTGCAAACAGAATAGGTTTTGCTAACCAAGTTTTTTTGGTTTTTTTCGCTGAAATATTTTGCAACACACAAGAAGTATTTTAGAGAGGGATTTTTCGTAGCATTTGCAAAGCAGGATAAAAAATTACATTC